GTGCAATTGATTTCCCGGACGATTTCCCTTCGGAAAAGTTGTTTTTCATGGCCGGAATTTAGCGTGCTGTTGAGATATTGAATTTTGGGTAATTTTGAACTCATTTTTGCCCATAGTGCAGTGGTTTAAAAGTGAAAATTCGTGAACTTAATTGTATCCTGATGTTTGTGTACATTTTAGCCATTTTACGTATTACAATGATTTTCATAATGGTCTGTTCCGCAACTTTTGGAATATTCACCTTACATTTTTGTTAAGGTGCAACTGTACTTCAGAAACCTAACTTTTCCATTTCAACAAATAGAGAGTAGATGTACATACAAAAGTTATAGAAAATATTATTTCAAGAAACTTTGCTCAAGACATCAAGTTGCCATGACTTCAATTTGCCGAGATATAGGATATTCTTTGACAGTTGTATTATAAAATCAGTTTTTTAAGCTTTTATATACTTTAATCACGTTGTATCTCTTATGTATGTTCGGCGAAGGTTTAGAAAATAGTATAATAAGCAACTTTTCTGGAAACACTAAAGTGTTATGTTTACATTTGTGAGAGCTTTTGCGATTTTTAAGCCAAAAATGACCCTTTTTCAATGTGCTATAACAAAGCAAGCACTTGAAACAACTTTCATTTGAAAGTTTAAAACCAGATCTTTATTTTTGTCCTTATCCTGGGGAATGCGGTGGATTTTAGTAAACAAAGAATTTGATATATGAATCTCAGTATTTTATGACATATTAAGATTCAAAGATTGCAATCAATTTGAAGATTTATTGGTATGTAGCAACCATTTTAATATTTTAAAATTTTCCAAAATCGTGTCCAATGAGTCTGGATTTGGTTTTCCACAGGGCAGTTACGGCTTTTGAAATTAAATGTTTATTTCATTATTCTTAGTGTGTTTCAATATATACACTAAGAAGCATACACAGAAAAAAATCTGAATTTTAACTATCGTGTAAAATCTCTCTTCGTTTAATTTTGAGCTATACCTGGCATAAACAGCGAAATCGTTTACAAGCTTGCATACAATATTGCTAATTTATGCGATATTGCGCTTTAATTTACACGAAATGTCACGTAAAATTATGCCCAATTTAGCGTTAATTTTATGTGCGCTATATCTCACAGAAATTTACATGAATTTTTCGAACGGTGTATAGTCAACACTCCACAAATCGAAAAAAAAATTCGGTTGCATGTTATAGAATCATAGTAAAAATTAATTTCATGGCTTCTGTGATGTTGATTTGTATGGGATTGTGCCACTGTTAACTTGATAATTAACACGAAAGTCTCTTCAATATCGAGTTGTAGAGAGTTCACTGTAGATCACTTTGATTTAAAGACCAGTGAAGATCATAGCAACCTACACATTTATGTTAAAATTAAAAACACAATCGTACAGCTTGTATTCGGCTGTTTAATAACTTACAGATCACAAGTGAGAGTTCCCAAAGCAGATCCGATTATTAAATTGCAGTAAAAAGTAATCGAAAATGTCTAATTACTCTTCAGGTATTTATTATATTCTTTTTAATATTGATTGGAAATTGTGAAAAATTTATTCAAACTTGAAATTGATAAGCATAGGTTGTTTAAAATATAGAAAGAAACCCAAGGGACTGAGGCAGACAAAGTTAAGAAGATGAGTCAGGAAGTGTATGTGGCGTACAACATTGACGAGTTTTGTTTGAATGGATTTGATGTCGAAAGGGCTCTGCTTCCGATTTGCAAATACTTTACGAAGCTGTATCGCAAGTTCCATCGAAGCGAATCGAAAATGATAAATTGCCACATCCACTACTTCAGAAAATCCTTCAAACTCCCCAGTCTCCTACTCTCTAGTCTTCCTTCAGCTAGTCGAGGAAGAACACCGATTTGTTTTCAGGATAGTTCTGATGCTCGAAAGACTGCTAACCTAAGACGAGGTCATTCCTTTAGCAAGTTGGCTTACGTTACGCAAATGAAACTACGTGAAAGTGGATCATTAAAGTGGTAAAGGAAGCAACAATGACAACTCCTACTCGAGCATCTAAAATGCTTGTTTTTTTGGAGAAATTCCCAGGAGAAGCAAACCGTTCTCTATTCTGATCTGGAAGCTCTAGCACTGATCATTGATGCCAACTTAACCAAGTCGCAATACTTGAAAATCCAAAGAGACGCAAAAATTAGAAATGTGAACCTTTATCCGTCTTACAACAAAATTGTCATTGCCAAAAAAGAGTGCTATCCGGAGGATCAGTTCATCGTGGTCGATGAAAAGAAAAGCCGAAGTAAATCTTCAAAAACTTTTGGACCATACCTCCAGTAGGATTGTCTTAGTGAACAAAGAGCGTCTTGATGATTTCACAGATGATGAGCTTAAGAAGGTTGTACTTTTTTTTTAATAATTTGTTTATTTTTCTAGGCTCATTTGATGTAGCTTTGCGGAGCCGATATTCATTGTTTAGATAACAAAATTACTTAAAACTAACGTTAGTAAAGCGGAGGCCGATTACTCGCGGCTATCTCGAGGTTAGGGGTAACAAATTGTAACAAATGGATGGCAGGGTAGGGATTGTGAACACAAGGTTTGGAGAGCAATGTGCTCTTGATCTCGAACTAGGCGACACTCTGATGAAAAATACTTTTTTTTTTCGTTGATGCAGCTTTAAACAAAAGATTTATCTTCTTCGGGTTGAACTTTTGATAAAATGGGGATTTGATGGTAGCAGTGATCATCCGGAGTACAAACAAAAAATTGAAAACGATGACGGAGAATCCAGTGATTCTAATGTGTTTATAGCTTCCTTAGTTCCAATTAAGGCAGAAGCAAACGGAAAACTTCTGTTCCAAAATCCGAGACCATCATCAACACGATTCTGTAGGCCTGTGAGGATTCAGTTTGTCAGTGAAACGACGGAAGTGTCGATAAACGAGTACAAATATATAGAGAATCAAATTGACCAGCTCACTCCAACAGAAATCACGGTAGATGACAGAACTATTATTGTATGTTATAAAATGGTTTTGACGATGGTAGATGGAAAAGTTTGCAATTCGGTCTCGGGTAATAAATCATCACAGACATTTACAAGGCAACACCGAAGCAAATGAATGATCTTGATTCTGTAAAGCAACGCAAGGAGAACAGTGAAACTTTTCAGTTTGGACTTTCTTCATTGCATGCCTGGATTCGGTGCAATTTGTTAGACTTAAGTGCATTAGGGTTTAATTTAATTAAAATTTTCATAAGTTGCATGGAATACTTTCTCCACATGTCATACCGTGAAGATTCGAAAGAAGCTAATAAAAAAACGGTTTAAGGTCGAAATCAGGCTGATTGTTGACAAGCCAAAGCAGGGAGGGTCTGGATCATCGAATGATGGGAATACTGCACGTCGTTTCTTTTCTAATGCCAATAAAACATCTGCAATAACTGGGCTGGATGTAACAGCACTAGAACGATGTGGTGCAATATTGCAGGTAATAATGTGGGATTATGATTTCAAGCCTAATTAATTAATTAATTTAAATATTGCTATGTTCTTAGGCAGGGTTGCTTCCACTCACTTGCTATAAAAAAATGATTTCCTGAATTTTGAAATCATTAGATGTTATAATGATATTTTGTAGTTGTAAGATATAAGAAAAGGTTGAAAGGCAAGTGTTTGACTCAAAAAACCTGTCAATTTAGCTACCAGAGTGTTACAATATGCGATCTTATGATTCGTGAGCGTTCACTCAGAGTGAGCGCTCGCGAGTCGTAAAATCACTGATTGTAACTATCTGAAAGCAAATTTGACAGGTTTCATGTGTCAAACACTTGCTTTTCAACCTCTTCTTGTATATAACAAGTATAAAATCTGATTATAACATCTAATGATTGCAAAATTCGGAAAATCATGTTTTTATAGCAAGTGAGTGGAAGCAAGCCTGTTCTTAGGTCTTAGCATGTGGATAAAAAATCAACACAGAACAATTTTCTGATTATTGTTCTGAAACAGCGAGGTATCTGATTCACTTATACCCGTGGTATTACATGCCAGCTTCGGTGCATAAAATCCTGATTCATGGCGCTCAGGTTATCAATCATTTCAATGTTCCAATTGGCCAGCTTTCCGAAGAGGCTCAGGAATCTAGAAATAAAGATCTCAAGCGATATCGTCGAGATCATACAAGAAAATGCTCAAGAATGATCTTGAACCTTGACTTGATTCGTAGTTTGCTTGTATCATCGGACCCACTAATCTCCAGTATGCGACAAAATCCCAAAAAGGAGACAAAAAGGTTGTCTCAAGATGTAAAGTTCTTGTTGAACATGGACAGTCCAGAAGAAAGTGATTCGGAGATTCAGAATGAAACTTTCAATGATTTTGAAATTTAGTTTATTTTGTAAATTTTATTTTGTTTGTTCCTTCATTTGAATGCTTCCTGTTATTGTTCTTATAAATTATGTTTATTATGATCAATCATTCACATTTTCACTAAAACTAGGCCATTTTAGATCTTGTATTTTTTTTTTAAATGGCGTCTTTGACATTTTTTAATATGGTCACGTCTTCCTTCGGAAGGGAAGTAAAGCCGTTGGTCCCGGCCCATGTGTGTTTGAATGGGTGCGATATCCTACGCAGGTGTGGAAGCTGCCTTTCTGCACATTCGATTGCCGTCAATGGATGGCAATCGATGTCCGTTGGTGATAGATTGCAGAACAGAGACCGACGTTAAATTAAGGAAAGAATACATATTTTAAGTTACTTCTGATCTAAATGACATACAATTGAAAGTTGTAGAGCAATATATAGTGTTTCTGGAAAAAATATACCCAGTAATTTTTTTTTCGTAATTTGGTGTAATATTTTTTTAAGAGTACCGAATACTAAAATGTATTAAAATGTCTTTGTAGAATTTTTATAATTTATGAAAGTATATTTTATTCTTTTCCTGCTAAATTTCCCCAGCCTAAACCACAATCAAGCAGCAAAAAAAGAGTTATTCAATTTTTACCATTTCAGATCCAAAAAATGACTGGAAATATTTCATCGAAATTATACGTTTTGAATTTGTGATACAGTTCTTCGGTCCGACAATCTCGAAAGGAATCCCGCGATCGACCAAAAGCCAAGCAAGTTACCGTAAAAGTGGATCTCCGTGCACACCCGAGTGGTGGTTCTGGGAGTGTGCGCGAGGAGCATAAGGAAGCGGCGAAATTATTTCGACTCCCCTTTGGACCGAAATCATAACACACGGGCAAGGCTCATAAAAATGTCACTGGATAACAGTATGGACGAGGAGTACGGTTCGATGAGTAGCAGCGGTGGCTTCGGGGAGCTGGACCCGATGGGAACGCTGAAAAGGATCAAGCTGGAAAGCGACGTCGCGATGGACGGCAGCACCAGCAACGGAGGAGGGGGAGGAAGCCTGAGTGAACTGTTGCGGAGTATCAAAAGTGGATTGGACATGCGCGTCCGAAGTGATGATGCTGCTGTTGCTGCTGCTGCAAGCTCAAGTGCCATTGGGGCTGGTGGTGGTGGCGGTGGCGGCGGCGGCGGCAGCGAACGGACTGGGGGTGGGATCTACGGTGGTAGTGGCAGTGGCCTGAATAATAATAGTGACGCTTTCAACAATAACAATCCGATCAAAGCGAAGCTCGGCGAGGTGGATGAGGCGAAATTTAGTGAGTTTAGTAAATTTTTGGGCGACAACGAGAAGGATGAGAACGTGGCGACGGTGCTAGAGCTGCTGCATGGTAAGTTAGTTTGCGGAATGCTATTTTCGGTATATCGATTGTCAGGGAGGGGTAGCGCAGAGCACTGTGCATTGTTATTACATAAAGGAACAACTTTTCATTTAAACCGATCGAGTAAATTACGCATTTGTTTTCCCAAGTGTTTTTCGTAAATAATTCAATTGAACAAATTGAGCATTTTCTGTTTGGCAGTTAAAAATGATTAACTAATTTGAATTGGAGATTTGGTCAACGGAAATCATTTCTACATTTCTGTGCTTGAATGATGCTGGTTTTGAAGCCGTGGTAAACAGTCTGATCAAACCCCGGAGCGATCCCCCGTGTTCCAGCATTTGTTTTGCTGATTTCAGCAATTTGCTTATTTTTCCCATCAAACGCAACAAAATTTCAAATGATAGCGAGGGAAAAAAACAACATTCATAATTCTCATCGTTCATCGTGCCTCGTCGCACTGACTGACTGACTGACTGGGAATGCAGGGAACGGGCAAATGCGAACAATCAACCATCCATCCACAGCACAATATCCAGCATAAAGCACCGCAGCCAGTTAGTGTGTGATGCTACAGAAATTTGAAAAAATATTTACACCGAGTTCGCGCTCAACAGCATAAACAGAATATTTACACAACGCTCATTCAATCGACTAATTTTTGTTTCCACTTTCCGCCTTGACTCGCACCACCAGAACAACAGTTTTTATGGACAGTTGTGATTGTGACTTTTCCTCCCATTCTGAATTAAGCCGGGCGCGATTCATCGGAACACGCGCAAAACTCTACGTAGAGTCGACGACGACGACGACAGTTTTGATGTTGACGCATTTTCCGTTCACTTGTGACCGTTGGCTGAAGCTGGATTGGAACGAATCGATGCTGGCTGACGGAGGGCATTACTCATCATCAGGAGGTTGTTTCATGGTACATTTTAAGTGAAATTATGAAACATTTTTCATGCGTTTGTGCAATTGGTTTGAAAGCGGTACAGTTTTGAGCTTACGTTTTCATGAATGGAGCTGAAAATACAGTGAACTCTCTGCAACTCGGAATTGAAGGGACCATCCAGTTATAGAATTATCGGAGTTGGGAAGAAATATCCCATCGGAAATCATCATCACAGTAACCACGAAACTCATTTTTACCATGGTTCTACAACTCGATATCAAGTTATGGAGAGTTGACTGTATTGCGCTGGCAAGATGGTAGGTAAGGAGGAAGATTGCGAAAGACGACGTGAACTCTTGTGGGCGTTTGACTGTATCAACCCCGCTAATCTCATGGAGAATTTTTGTTTTAATAATTCTACAGCAGCTTGTGAAAAGGGCCTATGTGTCAAATGTAAACAATGGCTTTTAACGTCGATTTGTCGGCACAGTACTGTCATGGTACATTGAGAGCTGCATTACCACCGCCCCACCACCGTAAATTCATGCGCCACCACCTTCACGAGAGTCCATAATTGTAATGCAGTTTTTTTTTTATCAATTACGGTTAACGACTTTTCAGTCAACATAAATTGTTTTATGAGAAAGTAATAAGATACTTAGAGTTAAGCACATAACAAAAAGAGACGTGTATATGTGTGAGAAAGGATCCGATGGGATTCGAACCCACAATTTTTCGCAAATTTTCTCACACACCCGTCTCTTTCCAATGATATGTGCTTACCTCTCATTATCTTCATTGGAGTAGCTAATGGGGGTGCCGGGGGGCCAGGCCCCCTCCAGAATTTTTTGTTTTTTTTTTTTGACTCAGCGGTATTTTGTCAAGCTTGTTAAGCTATTTAACAGTGATTAATAAAATTGGACCACCAACAAAGATTTTTTTAATGTCCTTTATGTTGATTACTTTTGTTATGTTCTGGACTAGAAGAAACAATTTCTTTAACTTGTGGAAACTTCTTAAAACTTCAAATAAAAGTTCAGGAAAGATCTTAAAAATTAAGTAAATTTGGTAGAAATTCTGGGAGCTTCATAGACCTTCAGAAAAATTCGTAGAAAAAAGGAACTTAGAATAGTTCTGAAAACTGCGCAGAAGTAGAGAATTCATTTAAATTTGAGTAGCTTCGTAGAAGTTAAATGAACACTATTTTATTTGAGGGAAGCTCATTATTGATCGGGAACCTCTATATAATTTCAGGTTTTTTTTAAGCCTTATGGACTTGGAATAGTTGTGGAAATTAAATGCAAATTCAAGAAATTTTGTTCATGTTCGCGGAAAATCAACGGGAAACGTAAAAGTACAGCAAGCTTCGTAGAAGTTTTTCGAATTTCTTAGCATTTTGAGGAGCTGCGTAAATGTTCATGTAAGTGTAAGGAATTTTGAAAAATTCCAGGAATTTTTTAAAAGATCAAAAAATAGATCAATAAACTTTTAAGAACTTCAGGGATCTTCGCTTCGGTTTAGGGAACTTTGTTGCCGTTTGTCAGAGATCTTACTTCAAAAAAGCTCCATGAACTTCTTTGAGGTTTTGGGAACTTCGCTAAATTTCAAGGAACTTTCCATGTGTTCAAGAATATTTATAGATGTCTTAGGTGTCTTTCCAGAAGTGCGAAGATGTTCAGAGATCTTTGTAAAATTAATAAAGATGGAAATGATGATTAAATAAATTACCGAAAAAAAGCTCTTACCTGTATAAAGTACGTGTAAATAATAAAATGCTACCAAATGTTTTAAGCACAACTAGCTTAATTTAAAATATTTAAAATATCCCTGCTGTGAGTCTCAGAATCTAAGATCTTGAATTGCGAATTTTGAAGACCAGGAGATTCAAAACTTGTCTAAGCCTATGATATCGTTTTTTTTTAGTAATGTACTCGTGCAATTTTTGTGCATCTAAAACTGCCCATAAAAACGATAATGAATAAAAACTGAAAATTTTTAATGCACTTCCAAATGGTTTCCTACCATTCCCATACATTCGAAGTGACTGGCCCTCTGGATGTGGATGATGTCAAAAACAACAAAACATGATTAATTAGGACAATTGATCTAAACTCGTTGACTTTTATTTGCATTTGTATTCGAAGAATTTATGTTTACAATCTGTATCAGAGAAATAATTTTTATTAGTTACAAAACCTTCAAAACATATAGGTTTGAAATCGTAAAACTATTTTTATTTTAACATTCACAATGTTAAGAATTGTGCATCTGCAACATATGCATGTACGTAATTGGTGGATTGGTTAGTTATTGCGACGCTTTTGGACAATGTTTGATATTTCCCATTTTTTCAATAGTTTCTTGTTAAAAAAAAATCAACAGTCAAAAGCAATGCTATCGATGCGTAGAAATATTTCTAATCGATTGGTGATAAAGTTATTGAAATCGGTCCAGGGGCAGCTGAGTTATTAACGTTCAAAATCTTTCATAATTTCGTTACATGTTCCATTTTTGGTGTTCACAAAATGTACAAGTGCAGCAGGCCCCCATTAGGCCCCCTCCAGATAAATTTTCTAGCTACGCCAATGAGTATCTTCTAACTTTCTCATAAAATTGTAATGTATGACGTTATGAATACATGTAAGCACAATAGAGTTCCCTCTAAAGGACACTGAGGTATGGGTATAGTTTGTTCGTAATCAGCTTGCCATAAAACTTAAAAATATTTACAAGGAAGAGAGTCATTCATACAATCCACATGGTCAAACAGAATGACTCAGCAACTGAATTCAATTGACTAAGGGCAATATCTCTCCATACAACATTTACTCATATTTGTGAAAACCTGCAGTTTGATTATACTAGCTGTAAAATGAGAAAGGGTATCAAGGGAATAGTCAATTCTATTAAAATAATTCTAACGTGGTTTATAACTCTATGTCTTTTTAGCACTCCTAGAAGTCATGTCTTTGTAATGCCTCAACCATTTACGTCCTTTAATTATAATTATATAGTTTTTACAAGTTTGACGTCAAACACCGTCAACCATTTAAACAGCGGAGGAACAAAAGAGACGACAAATTATCTGGGCCTCACCTGTTGCATCTCATTGCCCATTACCAAGACAAATGACAATTCGCTTTTTCGGTCACTCTGTAACTCTTTACTCCTATGATAAAATCCCATAGGCATACATCAGTCTGTGCGTGCAACATGGTGAAAATGTCCTTACCCTTTCAATCCTGTGAATATCCCATAAGAACTGTCAATTTTTGCGTGAAGAGACGGTGGCTTGCTGGTACCAGGGTGAAATGAAGAGATAATGCAAAGTCCGCTAGACTTCATGCACAGATTGTCAGATGCTGTGATCTGTGATTCTGTGAAAAAAATTCTCGTGCCCATCATTGAAAGCAGGGCTCTACATTTTCGAATCTCTAAAATGAACTCGTGTTGTTTTTTCTCTCATACATACGTGTTCGACGCTTCATTTCTATAACGCCTAGCTAGACTATCAGCAAGAAACGAAAATAAAAAAGCAGGACGCTTAGAAGGAAAGGCCGACTGTGGAACTTCTCGTCGTTGCTTTGCTCATCGCTTTCAATGTAACTAACGTCGATTTTCTAGTTAAACGAACCTCATTATGGCTTTCAATCCCCTTTCATGAACACTCTATCACCGATCTTTCAATTTGTTTAAAATGCGTTATGTCCCGTTTTTGATCATTTTTTTTTTAGATAAATATATGGATGGAAGATAAATTTAAAATATTACGTGTAATCTTCACGTGTTTTCACGTGAGAAATGCTTTAAATGTGTTATTTCATTTTCCGTCATATACGTCATGAAACCTCTGTTGATGTGTTTCATGAAAGAGAAAACTATCAAAATCGAGCGCTCTTTCGCTCATCCGTTTCACCGAAGCTTGAAAGGAAGACCAATGGAGCGACGGGAGAAAGAGAGACAAGCGATTGAACATTTGTTTGTGCACGCCGACTGAGGTTCTAGAATGCTGCGAAGCTGTTCGACTTTAACAGAAAAAGAAAGCCAGCAGTCTCTTCGTCGCATCGATTTGGTCGATTGAAGCTGATATTGTGACGCCCTGATTGAAAGAGCCCCT